TAACATAAAGAGTAGTCCCAGGCTGGTGGCAGCCTTGGGCTACCTGGTTGAGGTAAATGTCACACTGATCTAGGGGACATACTCTCAGCCTGGACTACCCAGGGTTACCTTAGATGAAGCTCCGCTGAACATGAACACACCATCCAAAGACATGCAAAATACTCTAGCAAGAGTAAGTAGACCCCCCCAACCAGAGCAGTATCAGATCCCCAGTTTTTTTCAGATAATGGTGTTATGGACTATAAAAACTATCATTCAACCCAGTGATTCCATTTTTTTAAAAATTTGTCATCAGATAACACTTGTCCGTAAGGAACGCACAGTGTAATTCATTACAGCATTGCTTGTCAAAGCAAAAGGTGCAAAACACTTTCATTGTCCACTACCAATAAAACCAAAAACCCATTGCTGTCAATTCCAACTCATAGTGACCCTATAAGAACTGGTTAAATAAATATGGTACATCTATACAATAGAATACTACTGAGCCATAAAAAAGAACTGGCGGCTTTATATGCACTGATATGAAATGATACCCAGGTATATTGTTAGATTAAAAAAGAAAACATAGTACATAACAGAGTGTATGCTACCTTGTAGTTGTGTGTTGTGTATACATACATGTGTAGAACAGGGGTCAGCAAACTACAGGCCAGCCCATCACCTGTTTTTGTAAATAAAGTTTTATTGGAACACAGCCATGCCTAGTCATTTATGTATTGCCTATGGCTGCTTTCATGCTACAACAACAGAGCTGAATAGTTGTGACAGAGAACATAAAGCCTAAACTGTCTGGCCTTTTCCAGAAAAAGTTTGCCAACCCCTGACATGGATGCTACTTGGAAAAATACACAAGAAATTGGTAACAGTGAGTCGCCTCTGGGGAGTGGTTCTGAGGGGACAGGGTGCAAAGAAGACTTACTTTTCATTCTATATATACCCTTTGGTAAGGAGCCCTGGTGGTGCAGTGGTTAAAGCAATTGACTGCTAATCAAAAGGTCAGTGGTTTGAAACCACCAGGTGCTCCGAGGGAGAAAGATGTCTGCTTCTATAGAGATTTACAGCCTTGGAAACCCTATGGGGTTGCTATGACTCGGAATCGACTTGACAGCAGTGGGTTTGGTTTGGTGTTTATACCCTTTGGTACCATCTGAATTTTCTATTGTGTTTCTCACCTGTGGGTAGAGGAAGAAATGAAGGAAACTAGGAATTGCCAAGATGACTCAAAATCAGAGTCTTCTATGCTGGCACTATTTTACACTTGCTTTCTACTTTCCTTGCAGAGGGAAGGAGAAAATCCAGACCACACTTATAGCAAGAAAGAGAAGTGCAGCTACCAAGGACAAGTCACAGAAGGGAAAGGGAAAGAAAGCCACTCATTTGGTTGTATCTGGAGTAACAAGCATCGCACATTTGTCCTGTCTTGAATGAGTAATAAGAAACTTTGATTATATGTCAAAATAGCTTTCAAACAAAAAATTAAGAATGACTTATTTTAATAGATTCCAGCTTCAGAAATATTTTTTTAAAACAAAATTTTATTTTAAGTAAGCCTCTCTCTCTTCTTCCCCTTAGGCACAGTTTTCAAATGTTTAGAGATTTTTAAACTATCTCAGGGCTCAGTTTTCAAATGTTTAAAGATTTTTTTAAAGTGAACCGATTTAAAAAAATAATTTATCAACTAGTGAGTGAAGGCTCAAAAAGGAACCTAGGTCAGTTTGTATTTGAGGTGGATATATATTTTTTAATCTCATTTAAAATTAAAATAATAAGAGAGAAAGAGACCCATTTCCACCCTCAAAAAAATATACTAAAATCAAATATCCTGCTTTCATTCATTTACCCTATGCTAACATATCATCTTCAATGACTCATATTTAACATTTAAATCATGCATTTGGAATTAGCAAGGTCAACAGTGGAGCCATGGTGGCACAGTGGTTAAGAGCTTGGCTGCTAACCAAAAGGTCAGCAGTTCGAATCCATCAGCAGCCTCTTAGAATCCCTATGGGGCAGTTCTGCTCTGTCCTATAGGGTCACTATGAGTTGGAATTGACTCGACAGCAATGGGTTTGGTTTTTTTTTTTTTTCATTTTTTTATTTTTGGTTTAAAGTCAATAGTATGCTCTGATGAAGGTGAACAAGCCCCAGTGAATTTGCCCTTTGACTATTTAATCTCTTCAGATAGCCATTTAGTAGGGCAGCCCCCAAATCTGTCCCTGGAGTGTTTGTGTGAGACAATTAAATGTTTCACTGTAAGGCTCTAGTTACATGTCACTAAAATTACAACCCAGCTGCTTCCTGAAGTTTGAAACCAGAATTTTTCAGGACCAGAAACTAGGGAGAGAGAGTCTGAGAAATGTTTCCAAATAGCACATGCTTAAACATCTGTGCAGAGGCAAAGGGCTCTGCTGTACTGCTTTATGGGCCGGCACCTGAATGCTGCAGAGGTAAAGCCACGGAATGGAGTCATCCTCCATGCAAGGTCCCAGGGCTGCACCTAGCAAATTACGAAGAGGTGAGCCTTCCTCTGGAGAGTACAGCTCTGCTCCAGAGTGTGTAAACACAGGTTGGATTTCTGCCCCCTCTCCCTGTCAGCTGGGTTCCTTGGTGTATAAACAACCCCCACAACTATCCATGGCGGACCTGCAAGCTCCTCAATATGACTGCTTAGCAGTGTTTCCACATCCAGGTTTTTGTTCCTGCCCTAGGATTTCTGCATGCATTTCCAGTTACAAAAGGGAAGACAGAATTATTACCAATAGTCCCGCAACCAAGCCTGGGTCTCATTAAGATGCTAGTGCCCTGAATCAGAACAACAGTGGCCTAAGAAATGTAATTGTTGCCTCCCATGCCTCCACAGGGATGTCACGTTGGGACTCACCGTGGTAATTCCAGCCACATGACCCAGGATGGGGACCAATTGCCAGGTGGGGCCGTGTTGTGGTTGGAGTCCAGGGCTGCTGGGCTGCTGCAGTCTTCCTGGAGCTCCTGTTCTTTGACTTCCAAAGCTTTGAGTACCACCAATGAGGATGTGCTTTTCAGTAATGCAACTGCCTCGCTCCGGCTGACCTCCGTTAGTTCAATTCCATTCACATTCAACAGAATGTCACCTGATGGCCAGGGACAACAGAAGCCATCCTGAGTGAGGGTGAAAACAGTAACTTCTTAAAGTGCAAAGGGGCAGGGTCTGGCTGGGGTGCAGGGCAGTGGTGAAGGCAAGGGGCACATCATCGTTCTCTTACCGACATGAAGTTGCTTCTCATATAGCAAATGTAAAGAGTGTGTGCATTCCAATGGGCAAGTAGGAAACTCAATGGGATCTTATTTGGGGTTTTCTAAAGCATACTTATTGATATCTGGCTTTTATCTTTAAAAAGAAAGGAAAGAAGGAAGGGAGAAGAAGGGGGGAAGGAAGGAAGAAAGGAAAAGAGATTAGCTTTGTTCACTATTTAATGAAAGAAAGTCTCCTTTTCCACTCCTTTTGTTATTTGTGTTTAGTGTGAAGGGGGAGCACCTGGCGAAAGCTCCCAGCACCTGCAAAGAGGCTGGCATGCAGTAGGCCTTCAATAAATATGGACTGAATACATGAATAAGACACTACCGATCAGAGTGTCTGGCAGGGGAGTCTATAGCATGACGAAAAATGGTCCTGGAACTATGATCTTAAAGAAGTGGAAAAGAAGAATTAACAGCATTTCTATTCATTGCAAAGGTGATAATAGCTACCACTGGCTAAGCACCTACTACATGCTGGACCTTTTTCATACATCATATTGTATAATCCTCTAGCTCATGTTCTTGAATTAACAAGTCACTTCTTGGTTGATCTCATCATTCTCCACCCAGGTGCTTGCAGAATAGGAAGAGAAACTAAATACATACTTCCCCCACCCCCTTTTCTTTTATCTCCCTCCCGTGTTCCTACCTCCCTTGAATATCATCTTTTTCATATAGAATAACCATAGCAGAAGTAGGTTTTAGTTGCTGATTCTTCAGAAGCAGATCGCCAGTCCTTTCTTCCAAGGTGCATCTGAGTAGACTTAAGCCTCTAACCTTTTGCTTAGTAGCCGAGCATGTTAACAGTTTCCACCACCCAGGAACTCCATAACTGTATCTGCTCCCTGGTTACTTCGTGGGATTATTTGAAGGCTCTTGCTTACTAGTAGGCAAGGTGGACCACATCAAGCTTCATGAACTAAGAGGAGTGAAACCCAGTCTAGCAACTTTACTCAAGCCAATCACTGTCACTGGGTAACATTGATGTATCCTGGCCAGATCACCCTTATATTCTCTTGATAATTCTGGAAACAGTTACCTAATCCAGTAAGATGCTATTTCCTCTGCCACCCTAATTCCTTAAATTTCTTTACTTTTTACCTGTTTTTATTCTTCCGTCTCTGCTTATGACGCCTCCAGGCTCAACACTGATGACATAGATGGGCAAATCCCATTCCCTTTGTGATGCTCCCCCGGCCACGGTCATGCCCAGGGACTCGCTGCGGTCTTTTCGGACACTTACCACCTTCTCATGACAAGTGACTGCAGGGTGGAGCGACTGAAAGCACACACAGAAAAACAAATATGGCAGACTTGTTCACAAGGGGGATTCCATTTCCTACATGCAAAAACTATCCAAACTGCATACAGATATGATAGTGGTCCTTGGTATCACAGAAAAAGACATATGTAGAGAGCCCCATCTCCCTCCTCCTCCCCAACAATGTTACATTATCCTGAATTCTGTAGGCTGAGTCAGAGAAAATTTACATTTCCAATGGGACCAGTAAAACTGGAGAGAGGAACAGGCTGGAGACCACTGGAGAAACATCGAGCACACAAAGTGAACTACATCCAAATTTTTTCAAGTGAGTCATTTATTTCTGAAAGTAGTGTGTCAATATTTCTTAAAATTCTTATTAATCATGAATATCAGAATTTTTTTTCTAAGCTAAAAAAACATATTTCTATTAAATAGTCTCATTTTAATTTATGCAGGTAACCAATTTATAGAACCCCTCAAAGAAAAATAGTAATCAATTTCATAGATAACTATAGTTGTTCGAACAGAACAAGGGGATACTGCATGGTTTAAAATCATCTTTAATTAAAGGGTGTGCATCTGGGTTGTATCCTTTCACTACACTTATTCAATCTGTATGCTGAACAAATAATCTGAGAAACTGGACTATATGAAGAAGAACATGGCATCAGGATTGGAGGAAGACTCATTAGCAATTTGTGATATGCAGATGGCACAATCGTGTTTGCTGAAAGTAAAGAGAGCTTGAAGCACTTACTGATAAAGATCACAGACTATAGCCATCAGTATGGAGTACATCTCAATGTAAAGAAAACAAAAATCCTCACAACTGGGTCACTAAGCAACATCATGATAAATATAGAAAATATTGAAGTTGTCAAAGATTTCATTTTACTTGGATCCACAATCAACAGCCATGGAAACAGCAGTCAAAAAATCAAAGGACCCATTGCATTGGGCAAATATGCTACAAAAGACCTCTTTAAAGTGTTAAAAAGCAAAGATGTCACTTTGAGGACTAAGATGTGCCTGACCCAAGCCATGGTATTTTCAATCACCTTATATGAAAGTGAAAGCTGGAGAATGAAGAAGGAAGACCAAAGAATTGATGCCTTTGAATTATGGTGTTGGTAAAGAATATTGAATATACCATGGACTGCCAGAAGAATGAACAAATCTGCCTTGGAATAAGTACAGCCAGAATGCTCCTTAGAAGAGAGGGTGGCGACTGTTCAGCCAGGGATTGGACAGCTGCATAAAACAAAATGGGACTAATGAGGCATAGCAGTCCAGGGACAAGGACTGGAAGGCAGGAGGGGACAGGAAAGCTGGTGATAGGGAACCCAAGGTTGGGAAAGGACAGTGATGACAGGTCGTGGGGTTGTTAACCATTGTCATAGGGCAATATGTGTACTAACTGTTTAATGAGAAACTATTTTGTTCTGTAAACCTTCATCTAAAGTACAAAAAAGAAATTATCTATGTGAGATCAAACTGACAACAGCAACTCAAAAGGTTTGATGGGAAGCCTACCAGACAGTGAGTTGAAGACAATGGTGATGGAATAATTTGGAAAATGATAGTGAGAATAGCAGCACAACTGGAAGAACGTAATCGACATCACTGAATTGTACATGTAGAAATTTTTGAAATGGTGTATCTTTGGCTACGTATATTTTCACCAAAAAAAAAAAAAGGTCCTCCAAGGTCAAGAAGGGAGAGTGTTGACATGTCGTGGGGTTGACCAATGTCATAAAACAATATGTGTACTGACTGTTTAATGAGAAACGATTTGTTCTGTAAACCTTCACCTAAAGTACAATAAAAAATAAAAATAAAAAATTAAAATAAAAAAAGAGAGGGTGGCGAGACTTCGTCTCACATATTTTGGACATGTTATCAGGAGGGACCAGTCCCTGAAGAAGGACATCATGCTTTGTAAAGTAGAAGGTCAGAGAAAGAGAGGAAGACCCTCAACAAGATGGATTAACACAGTGGCTGCAGCAATGGGCTCAAACATAGCAACAATTGTGAGGATGGTGCAGGACCAAGCAGTGTTTCATTCTTTTATACATAGGGTCATTATGAGTTAGAACCAACTAGATGACACCTAACAACAACAAAAGCAAACACTAGAAACACCACTTCCTAGGTTCCCCCAATTAGCATCTTTCCTCTTACTCCAGCAGTTCTAAATAGTATGTAGTCAGTTATATCCTTTAATATTATACACAAAAATGTATTACACACATTGGATACACTGGGGACCAACTTTTGAAAGGCAATTTAATTAAGAGAACTATGATTTCAATTCAACAACACAGAACTAAGAAAATTCAATGCTATATACTAAATTAAACAGTGCCAGTATGAAACTTCTTACACATATTTGTGCATTTGTGCAAATTAATTTCTTTATGCTAATGTCTTAGAAATAGAATTGCTGAATCAAGGAGGCTGAGCATTTAAAATATTGATAGATATTGATAAACTGCCTTTGAAAAAGCTTATTATATCATTTATAATCTCACTAACATGTTGTGAAAATGGTGATTTCCCCACAATACTACCCAATACTAGGTTTTATCAATAGTTATAATATTTGCCCAGGTAGAAAAATATATTTCAATAATTTAACTGCATTTCTATGTAGTAAGTTTGAGCATCCTTTTATTGATATTGGGGTTTTTAATGGTAATCAGTACATGAGATCTTGCAGCATTATAATCATTAAAGCCCCTCTGACTTCATTTATGAAATGGGTAATGATGCACATGTCCTAGGAAACTCTGGCTAAAAAAAAATGGGATTACAGGGAAGACATGGCTTTTACCTATTAACATTTCATTCCAAAAAACTGAGTTGCTAAGTTCATTTAAAAGTGACAAAATTACATGTTTCATGAAATATTTCAGAATTACACTGGCTTCTTTCTTGGCACTCCAGTAAGTAAGAATTAGTGAAGTTTTAATTATTTTGTTGTGAATAAATATTGGCTGAATAATGTGCAGATTGGCCAGATACTCTTTTCAGGAAAGGAAAGAAATATTATTTGGTATCTACTTAAATGTATCAGGCCAGGCACGCTGAAACTCAACATTTAAAAAAAAAATCAGATCAACGAAAAACAGCCAGCATGAGAAGGAGTTAGTACTGAAGCCCAGGATGTCTGACTTTAAATCCATGCTCTCCTCATTACACCACTCTGCCTTTAGAGGTAATTTTTAAACACATGAATTAAAGGTATCTATGAAATATCAGGTAACTATCAGAAAAAAACGCAAAAGAATTAATTTCCCAATTTTCCCAGAAAGAGTTCAACTAGCTCATTAACTAAAGAACTCAAACCCAAATCTAGTTCTGTCAAATAAAATACATGACATGTAAGATTGAAATGCTGAGACCTATGTCCTCCTGGTTGTACAGATGTGCTATTTATGGTTTTAGGTACAAGTGTCTGGAGGGCAAAGTCTTCTCTCGCCCTTCCTCAGGGCCCACAGTTCTTACCTACCAACCTTGCTTGCAGTAGGTGTGCATTACCAGCCACTGAACACAGAGGTGTTTGGTTGTCACTTACAGACTCAATACGAATGACAGGGATGCCACAAATAAGACATGAGTTCCTGTGTCCTGTGTCTCTGATAACCACTGCTTTTCCCCACCAGAGACAGACACATCTTAGGAATGGAACAACTCAAGTCTCCCTGTGAAATCTTCCCACCCACAGTTGCCTAACTTTGGGGAAGGGGAAGAGTTAAATATGATAGAAATGGTTTTCTTTTCCTTCTATGTTTTTTCCTCACTCTCCTTTCCCTACTTTGGACAGCTCAGACTGTTCCCTAATGTTTAAAAACATAATTTATGATGACATAGTTCAAGCTTATTAAAAACTATCATGGGCACCTGTGTACTTACCATTTGGCTATAACAAATATTTACATTATTGCATATTTGCTTTGAGTTTTTAAAGTAAAACATTTTAGACATGCAATAAGTCATAAGGAATAAGTAGAAAGACCCACTCATGCACCTTGAAGCCCAACGTCAGAAATGAATGCTCCAGTACGGCTGAAGTTCCTCTGTGACTTCTCCCCAGTCACATGCCCTTCATCTCCCTCAAAGGAATCTAGCTCCTAAATTTGGTGCTTGTTGTTGGGTGCCATCAGGTCGATTACTTACAGCAACTCCGTGTGACACAGCGGAACTGCCCCATAGAGTTTTCTTGGCTGTAATCTTCACAGAAGCAGATCGCTAGGTCTTTTTCCCACAGAGCTGCTGGCTGGATTTGAACTGCCAACCTTTAGGTTAGCAGCCGAGCACTTAAACTTTGCGTCACCAAACTCACTGCCATCAGGTCGATTCCAATTCATAGTGACCCTATAGGACAGAGCAGAACTGCCCCACAGGGTTTCCAAGGCTGAAAATCTTTACAGAAGCAGACTGCCACATCTGTCTCCCGCAGAGCAGCAGGTGGGTTCGAACTGCCGACTTTTTGGCTAGCAGCCGAGTGCTTTAACCAGTGTGCCACCAGCGCTCTTTAATTTGGTGCTTATTATTCCTTAACTTTTCAACTGGCTAACATAAAAGTCTTCTCTCCCACAAACCCTTGGTTATTTCTTTGAATCAGTTAAGCCTCTACATTAAAAAAGCCACACTGTTTCCTAAATAAAGCAAAACTTTAGTAGAATCATTTAAAACTAAATCATTAAGGAGCCATGCATGTCTTAGTTTCTTTTTGAATATGCCACTTTTTTGGTGAGGGCATTTCAGAGGGCAGACAGAACCATAAATTAAAATGAAAATAACTACAATTTCCTACTAGGTCACTTTGTTATATGAGTTTTCTAGAAATTTATCATATGACAGAGGGTGGCATCAAAAATTTGTTTATGTCCTCCTGGCTCTTCCCATGATTCATGATGGTTATTGTTCTTGGGTGCCATTGAGTCAATTCTGACTCATAGTAACCCCATGGGATGGAGCAGAACTGCCTCATAGGGTTTTCTAGGCTGTAATCTTTATTGGAGCAGATCTACAGATCTTTCTCCTGCAGAGCTGCTTTTGGTGAGTCTGAACCGGCAACCTTTAAGTTAGTAGCTAAGCATTTAACCAATGTGCCACCAGGGCTCCTTTCATGATGGTTAGACAGAAGGAATTATAAAACCACAGTGGCCACTGGAGGCCTCATTATTAGTAGTTTAGTTAACCAAAATTTAATTTACTCTAGTTATTAAGCTTAATTAATTATTCTAGTTAATTAAACATGAACTAATTAATTAGTTATTAAATGAATAAACTAGTTTTCCTCTAATAAATACCATCAGTTTAATTTAAACATGCTAATAGCGTTTACTAGCAAAAAGATACTAGGGAGTCCTTATGCATAAAATGTTTTAGCAGGATGTACAGGTCCTGTACAGAATATGTAGCAGGATGTACAGGATCTGTCTTGACTGATTACTGTAAATAAACCTAGAATTTATGCATTTATGGGGCATGACTGGCTGGAGAATGGGTAGTGTGTGTAATTAACAGAGTATAAAAGCAGAGATGTTCCAAAAACAAAATTTTGATTCTTGTTTCAGCAAACATTGCTCAAAAACTCAACTCATGAGTTATTCCAAACTAAAACATATCCTGCTGTAGAAGAAAGGGGGTGTTCCCTCATATCTATTGCAAGAAGAATGGGCTGCCTATAAGATTTTTCTAGCTACGAGTGATGTAATGAAACCAGACTCCAAGAGAAATGACCGACGGAAGGTCAATGCCATTACAATAAGATATTAAGCCAAGGGTATAGGACTCTTAGTTTGGAATAAGCAAGGTTTGTGTTTCTTAGATGCCCATCCAAATGGAAAGGTTAAGGCAGTGTTTCTAATAGAAGCCACAGAGAGAAGCAGAAATTGGGCTAAGTCACTCCATTTAAAGAGAGGCAGTAAACGGTGACCTGAAGGATGGACTGTACCCACAGATGCATTCTGCTTGATCCACAGGGTTTTCTGGTTTGCCCAATCCTCACCACTCCCTAATACTACATAAGCTTCACGTGTTTAAATGATCTTCCCGGCCCCTCTAGGGATTTGATTTTGTGACTTCTGTAAAAACAAACAAATTAAAAATAGCAGGGGAAAGATTACCTTAATTTTCCAAAACCAGAGAACAGGCAACCCTCTTGTTTCGTTTAATAGTGAATGGAAAACAGTCCATAAGGAAAACGATTCTTTGAAAGCCTGACATCTATTTGGTTTAGACTAGAAATTAGGTTCCCATACACGGTCTGTAAGATCATATTTCAAAACTCTCCCACACCCTCCTCTCTCCTGCCTGGATAGGAGACACCTGTCATCTCACCATCTCATGAAGATGGGACTTTGAGCTTTTAGTTTTATAAGACAAGTCAAATAGTGTTTCTTTAAGTGACGAAGTCCAGAGATGATACTTAGAAATGTTGAAGTATGTAGCCTCCCTGATAAACAGCTCCCTGCAGGAGCAGTGGACATGGCCCTGGTGGGGCCTCACCTTGTGAGTGTGGCTCCTTTCCCCAGGCCCCGGGGAACGGCTGCCGTTGCTGTTCCAGCCCCCTTCCTGGAAGATGTCAGGGCTCTGCTGTCGAAACTGGCGGGACACAACCAGGTGGACGCGCCTCTCACTGGCCTGGGTGATAAGACACGGGTGTTAGCCACTGTCAGCGCTACCATCCACAGCATACAGCATCAAGCATGAAGATATGAGCTTATTTTAACCTTTCTTTTAGATGGAAAAACATGGTTCCTAGTATTTTTTATGTCAGTGCTCATTTTGTAACTTGGCAAGAGCATGAGAAGTGGTTCCTTCTTTCTTAAACCAGGTAGCAAACACTGCTCCATGGGAAAATCTAGGGAAGGGCTGACTCATGGAACAGTCTTTGAAAAGACACCGTCCAACACTGCTAATTTATTTTTAATTAATGATTTTGTTACATACAAATCACGTCTGAAGGTCTTTCTGGATTGAATCGGGTGTATGGAGTATAGTAGTAGCCCAGCTCAAATGGTCTAAGACCAAGGGTGAATAGTAAATAAAAAGTCATGTTGGGCATGGTGAATGCAATCAGTATCACTGAATTGTACATGTAAAAATGATTGAAATGGCAAATATTTTGTTATATACATTTCATTACAATAAAAAAAAATTTTAGAAGTAATATTGGGATTAGTGGCAGCAGAATTAATGAATTTAAAAACATATTCTACTTTAGAAATGGACTTTTTCTGTGCCACTAAATATCCCAGAACTCTTGGATTTGAAGACCCATAGGTGGGAATTAAAAAAAAACAACAACAGTGTTCTATTTAGTGAATGAGGGTTATGGGACCCAAAGGGGAAATCCAAGGAAGACAAGGCCAGAAAGGTCACCCTCTGAGTCTGAAACTAACAAATATGTTTTAAAAATGCACATCAGATCATGTTACTTTTCTGCTCTCAACTATCCAGTGGATTTCCACTACATTTAGAATGAAGTTCAGACTCCTCACCGTGGCCTTCAAAGGCCCCACCCACATCACCCATTTAGCCTTCTACCACTCTCCCCTTTGCTCACACTGGTCTTATTGTTCTTCCTCAAACACAGCCAGCTTGTTCCTACCTCAGGACCTTTGCACTTGCCATTTCCTCTATCTGGAATGTCCTTCCAATGCAGTTCATGGAAACTGGCTTTAGTATCTCCTCTCCAAATCATCACCATGTCATCTTGTTTACTTTCTTCATAGCACTTATCACTATATGAATTGCTTTTTCTTGTTTGTTTGCTTGTTATTGTGTCTCTCTTACTAGAATGTGAGCTCCTTGCAGGCAGGGACCTTACTTGTATATTCTCAGCACCTGAACATGGCACAGAATAGTGCTCATTCCTACTGAATGACTAAGTGAATGAAAAATGTAGGCACCATCAATTAGGGCAACTGACATTTCTACCGGGGGATTGGAGACAACTTCTCAATTAGTAAAATAAGCATTCCTTCTGTATTGTCAGGAAGGTGCCAACGAAAACATAATCTGGGAAAAATCACCTATTAACTTGGATTATACAGTGTTATACAAATACATTGGAATAAGGGAATTTTTTAAAAATGGTTCTTTATTCCTAAACTTATGCAAGTTTGCAAAATTTATTGTACATTGCCAAATAAATCTTCAATGAAAAATAAAATTAAAAAAAAAAAAAAACAGGCTTGCCAAATGTGCAGCTGTCAATCTGCCAGCCATCAGGATAGTAAAGAATTCAATAACGTATTCAAGACTTAACAGGTTTAAGGAACTTTAATGCTTAAAGAGTTCTGCCTTGTCACTTCTTATCTGAGCAACTGGCTATCAGAACTTTGTGGAAACGTAACCAAGTGAGCAAGAAAGCCAGAAAATCTTTATCTATGGTCCCCTTAACCAAAGTAGAATCAAAAGAAATAAAACATGCACAAATAACACAGAAGTGCCATGTCTCTCTGATGTGGTTCATAAAATGAAAAACTGAATCTCAGAGCAAATGCGTTAGAAACACTTCTTAACTTTGTAACCAGTTTGTGCAGAAAAATGTGCTTCTGGATTTCTTTTTTAAAGTGCTTAACGTCTAGAATTTACTTTTAAATCAAACGGGCGTATAATAAAAAAAAAAAATCTATTGCCAACCAGACAGGACTGATTCAGGTAAGGCAATAAAATGGAGAGTACATTGATTTGAGTAAGAATAAGAATTAATACATGTAAAGTTCCTATTAGTCTTTCAAATTTTAAGAGTTTATAAATTAATTCTGTTAAATACATTGGAATAAATTCAGTTAATCTGAGACAGAGTGGTCCTCAAAGTACAGAACATGGAGACATCCATCTAAATCAGTAAAACCCTTAAAGGGTAAATAGGGCAAACCCCAAGAATAAATAATAAAGAAAAAGAAATTTGGGGGTTAGTGGCAGCAACTCTGTAACAGCAGGAAGAGTAATCCTACATCTGACAGGCTCAAACATCTGGGAAGTGAGAGGATAAGCACTTTAGGAACAGAAGGATGGCTTATTGGGTTCTAACAGCCTGATTAAAGTCTTTGCCTTGATTCTTTATTTTTTATGTGACTATCACTAAGTCTCACCACTAGTCCTTTCTGCTATGTATGTTCATGTTTGCACAGAGCATTTGGAATAGCGAACTCATTGCTTATTGGAAAGGTCCAGTTCACACTGTAAGTTTGCAAATTGGCTTTCTGCTACGTATCAGTCCATGTGTGTCTGAGAGTGTGAGTCATTATTCCAGAACTGCTGACTTCTGAGATGCCAGATCTGCAGGACAGACAGGCTCAACCTTAGACCTGTGCCACTTAAATAAATATTGCTCCTGCAGTGGCCATAGCTGACCACCCATCACTTTAAGAAAAGTTGCTAATGGCTGAGGCATGGCTAGATTTGATTAGAAAGGCTCCCAAGAAAGACTAGGTTTAGGGACTAGAAAGATGGAGAAGAGAGGAGTAAGGCCTGGCTGCTCTTCTCTTCATCCAATTCCTTGACCAATCACCACCACAGCAGAGATGGACATTGGCCTGCCTTCCTTCACAGGTACGTTATCAAACCATGGAAAAGTCAGGTCATAAAAGGAGGTCATGGAAAGTCTATGCTCTCCTCGATTAGTTCAGACAATGGGAGTTGAGATGTTTGCTTCCTGCCTTTCTGCACCTTCCTTCCCTGAGCATATAACTCACTCTCACTCTCAGAAACAAGGACCTTGTTTTTAAGACCTTAAGCAATAAGCATCCCACCAGTGAAATCTGATCCCCATGGTTGTCCAACACCGAACAACCCAAACTTTCATGACTTTGTATTCTTACATTAATAAACATCCCTTTTCAGGCCACTTGAAATGTAGCAGCCATATGTTAGGTCATTATAAATTAGATGAATTTTTTTTTTTAGACAACAGGTAAAGCTCATTAGGGGGCAGTGGTGGTTCAATGGTAGAATTCTTGCTTTCCATGCAGGAGACCCTAGTTCGATTCCTAGCCAATGACCTCAGCACAGCCACAACCCATCAGTGGAGATTTGTGTGTTGCTATGATGTTGAACAAGTTTCAGTGGATTTTCCAGACTAATACGGACCAGGAAAAAAGGCCTGGGGATCTACTTCCAAAAATCAACCAGTGAAAACCCTATAGATCACAACTGTCTGATCACGTTGTGAATGGGGTTGTCATGAATCGGGGATCAACTCAATGGCGGGTAACACCAACGACGCTCAGTGAAAGTGTCTATTGTTAAGTATCACAATGGACAGTGGGCCAGTCCAGTTGATTCATTTCACATAAATCTAGAAAATCCTAATGAATAGGGCCCCAAAAGAAAGTTCAAGTCCTTTGCTCTCTTTCTTTCACATAAAGCCCAGTCATAATTTCTGTGCCCTTCCTTTGGTTGTTTGCCTGTCTTGAATTCCCTGATGTTTCTCATCACATATAAAGCCTGAGTCAGAGAACGAAAATAACAAGTCCAGGAAGCAATAATTAAGAAAGTTGACATTAAGAGCTATGGCATTCGTCAACTAAACTCAATTCTTGGAAGAGTATTTTGTAAGAACTATATCTCTTTCTTTGTACTGCAAGCTTCCCTTATCCTGATGAGGTTATCTTTGGGAACTCTCTGAAGCAAAAATTACTAAAAGATAAGAAGTGGTGAACATTCAGGTCAACATTTCAATTGCTGAGCCCAAATTTGCTCCTTTATCTTTGGGGAAACTCCGATATTTTGAAGCATCTCAGCAACGTGTTTGTCTTTAGGCCTGCACATTTATTTTGGATGAGGAGCAGACACGTGATCTACGCATCTCATAAGAATTGAGAAAATTTTAGATGTACGCATTGACTCAACTTGCCAGATAAAGTCCAAAGTGCCAAGAAGCAGCCTGCAAGAGCTATTTAATTCACATTTTCAAGCATAAATTTCTCACTGGGTTTTCGAATGCTGTATGCTGTCTTGGGTATTATGTTGTTAGGCTGGCAGGAACAATACCTCAATAATAACTCTGGTATAAGTTACTTGGAAATAAGTTCTTTGCAAGGCTGAATCCATGGTTCTTACCAGCCACCTTGTAAAATGCTTACACAGAGACTCTATTTGATGTGCTTTCTTTCCTAGTGTTGGAAAGCGTAAGGTGGAAAGCGGGGTAATGTGTTTGCCTTGGCTCTAACTCTCATGAGCACTAGATTCAGTCTAGAGAAACAGCCCCCAGCACCAGAGTCTTTCTTTCCACTGGTGTGAATGTGGTGTGGGTGTGGGAAAGGAGCAAGGGATAGTCACAGAAAGACTGAAGATGAGAATGGCAGAAACTTGTTTTTTCTTTATGTCACACCTGCATACTATGTGCTTAGGAGCCCTGGTGGCGAAACAATTAAGCACTCAGCTGCTAAATGAAAGATCAGCAGTTTGAATCTACTAGTGGCTCTGAGGAAAAAAAGACTTGGAGATCTGCTCTCATAAAGATTACAGCCTAGAAAACCCTATGGGGCAGTTCTATTTTGTCCTGTGGGGTCACTGTGAGTTGGAATTGACTTGACAGCACACAACAACAACAATACTACGTGCCAGGAAGACAGGTAAAAACAGACCTATCATTTAAATGACAAAACAGTCTAGGAAACAGTTTGCTG